GAAACAAAAATTACTTCTACATAATATCCACCCAGGTATGATATTTTTGCATCCATAATAAAATCTCTTAAGATCAACAAAAAGCTTACAGAATTCCTAGAATAGCAATTCATACGTATTAAAAATATAATTTCTAAATTCAATATATCACCAATGTAAACATGACATGCTCAACAATGTTTAGTCTGAGTAATAAATCAATTTATTAACTTTAGTTTAAAATTGTTTCCAGCCGAGGGATCAACTAACGATAAGTTAAATTTGTTCCATACATCGTTTCAAGGTAATGTTCGTATATTAAATGGAAAGTTGAGTAAAAGTTGAATGCTGCATGACTTACACTTCAGTTTTGTTACTGACTAAAATCAGCTGATTCTATGAACAGGATCTATTATATTATTAAAGTGATACAATGTAATTTTATGTAAGCGGTTAAGGCCATTTACCAAATAAAAATATAGGCATATGGCACATCAAAATGAAGCTTGGAATATGTAGATTTGCCGAAAAGTATTGATATGGATGAATTTCCTAAGGGCTCTGCCCCACAGGGTGATTTCCAAAGGGCTTCGCCTGAAATGCTCCTAAAGTTTAGATAATTTAATTTAATTTAGTTAATGAAACAGCTGGTCAGTACAATGAAGTGGTGTTTGTTTATTTACTCGAAAAAAATGTTTGTGGCGCTTTATGTAGATTGAGGAGGGTTATGTTGGTTTTAAAGAAAGGTTGTATACGTTTTGTAAAGTATTGCCAAAGGTATTGCTCAAAGTTTAATTTTCTAATTTATATAGTAAGCTATGTATAAAGAGGCTTGACTAAAATTGAAGAATTATGGTAAAACATGTCATTCATGAAGCATCAACATGAAGCAATTGATGCTATTGCTACACTAAGGTATGTCGTCATACTCTTTTGGATCCATTAACATTAAAAGTAGGGGTTTGAAAGTAAGTAGGTTTACACTTTTAAATCAGTTTATATTTCCATACTAAATCATAGCGTTGTTGTATTTTAAAACACACATCAGCACCACTTTAATAGCTCTCTGGGTCACATTTTCTTCCCGTTGCAACTCACGGGTATAGCAGCTTGTAGTTGATTAAAAGCTCAATGACCGGACCATAATATTTCGTTTCTAGCGAAATATGGTATGGAACGAAAAGTGTTATAAAACGTACTACATGTATTAACTGCTTTGTAAGGAATACAATACAGTATACATTGTTCCATTCATCCACAGACTCACGTGTTTTATAAGAGGCTTTGTGTCATAAACTGATGACAGTCTTACAACCTTATGATTTACAACACAATTTACATCAACCTGATTCGTGTGAGACTTAACACTTGCACTATGTTACATTATTTAAATGCAATAGTAATACTGCGTCTAGAATTCACGATGGGTTTTAATTTGTACTTATAGTTGCCTGGGTCTTAATACATTAATTTGTTTGTGTTTAAGAGTTTAAATTAAAAATGTTAAAGAGTTTGTGGTATTTACAAAAAATTAGGTGTTACCTATCTATTTTACAAGCTGTTCTTAATTTACAATACGTAACCTTGTATTAATAAAAGTAGTTTGAGTGCGTAGGTGACGTGCTTATGCCTATTTAATAGCCTATTTGTTCGAGAACATATTTTATATCTGGGTGTGCCAGAAAGGAATGCACTTTTGAAACGAAAGAAAACAGAAAAATTGCTTATTCACGGCAATTTTTTTAAGAAATACTGTTTTGTAAACTTAAGGGGAATTGCATGTGAAAAATAACATCATCCAGATGTAAACCCCTGCGGTGAAGCCACTAAACCAAACGAAACAGAGTTCTGGTGGGATGGCTTCAATTTTCTCACGAATATTTTGCTTCAGACAAGCAAATTTAGCAGGAGCGTTGTTGTACACTTAACTTTTTAGATACCCTCACAAAAAAGTCTAATGGAGTTAGGTCTGGGCTTCTAGGAGTTAAGTTGATGTCACCAGATCTGGAAATGACTTTTCCACGAAACAGCTGCCTTATTGCAGTCATGGGGTCTCCTGCTGTATGACACGTAGCTCCATCCTGTTGGAAGCACAATCTTTGCCTGTTAGCCCGAGGTAACGTTTGCAAGAACGGCTGTAAATTATCATCAATCATTGTTATGTATCACTGGGAATTTACTGTCACAGTGTTCCCTTGGTTATCGTCAAAGAAATACGGCCCAATTTTGTAATACGCTCGATATTTTGTTCAGAACCCATTCCTCTATGGCGACCAATGGGACGAGGGTTCACAGTTGATCCTGTAGCTTCAAATTTTTGCTAACCCAGCATTTAAGTATGTTCACTGATGGCGTTTGGTTGAGATCATGAAGTCTGTATTTAAGCGCGGAGGTGTCGTCGAATTGTCACATAAGAAAGCATTTGGTAATAGTTGCGTATACAGAAAGCACGGTGCTCACCGGTAAAGTGATCTATAGCGAATGATTATCCACTGGCATAGCAACAACGCCCTGATAAGCTCCTTATCTTATCTCTCTTGGTCATTTGGCTTTCCCCAAAATAAAATTGCGTTCCTTTCTGGGACACTCAGTATAAGCTCAAACTGAATGCAAAGTTTTATACGGAAAGAGAATTCCCTCTATTATCGAATTTGAAAAGTTGTCATCTTAAATTAATTTTACAGTTTAACCTAGTTGTAATGAAGTCTACCAGTAAAGTAATCCAACTTTGAAATGACCGGTGTTGTTGGAAGATGTTTGTAGCTAAACTTTGGATCTGGACTCCTGTGTTTATGGATAGACTGATTGAGAGGGATCCGTAAACAGCTTAGGGGCGGCGGGAAATGAGATTTGATCAGAGTGGGTTAGGGTTTGAAATTGAGGTTAGTTACCATCATGAGAAATATATTAAAAAATAGGTTGTAATGTAAAAAACTAACTGTCTAACGTAGGTTATAACCCAATGGACCAATATACTTGGAAGCCTCGTGAAATAACTTTTAGATAACTTTACACCTAACTTTTTAGATACCCTCACAAAAAAGTCTAGTGGAGTTAAATCTGGGCTCTAGGAGTTAAGTTGATGTCACCAGATTTGGAAATGACTTTCCCACAAAACAGGTGAACGGTTTGATAAGGCAAGTGCAAAAGAGTTTTGATAATTTTGATATAAAAAAAAATGTTTGACTCTATTTCCCTTGGCTCTGTATCATAAATGGGTGTACTGTATAATTCTTACATAATTGTGTACATCATTTATTGTTTACTGTAAAATTTAATTAAAATGTAGCTTTAGAATGCAAACCCTAAATGAATCTATGGTTTAAAATTATGTATCTAATAAAATCCCAAATTATTATAGAAAAGGTATTAATCATATTATCTGTAAGGCCAGGCCGAATGTTTGCATTTTCAACACTCTTGAAGGTAAGTAAGAGAAGATTATTTAATAAGTGACATATACACCAATAAGTAACCAATAAGTATTTATCAATAAGTAAGAATAAATTATAACCATTTACATTTAGGCTACTATTAATAGAGAAACCAGTTTTAAATTTACTTTTATTATATTTGTTGTGGAAATATTTAAACGTTTTATTTTTTACTTTTTTTATTTGTTTTAAACTTATTTTCTTAAGCTAATCAAAAATTTTCTTTTGAATAAGTTTCCCAGTGATAAGTAGTAAGCACCAAGGGGTATGAATCATGTATTTATGCAACAGAAAATCATTTTTATTCAAAGGAATAACTAGGTCAACCACATAAGTTATTAACTAACTTGATGAGTAACTTGAGTCCTCATCACTTTCGCAGTAACAGGGTGTGATTTGGACTATGTTATGTACGTTTAACTTTTCTGCACATCTCAAAAATGTATCAATTTCCTTTTTGGCCCATGGATTGTTTTGGTAACCACATTTTACATATAATGCCAGCATCGGTTCACCCGTACCTTCAACTCCTGCAAGAAAAGTAGTTATTAAAATAAAACATAAATGTAAATCAATATTTCATCCTTTCCTAAACAACACACTTACTGATTCTCCCATAAAACTAAACCTAAGTAATTTGTAATTTAAAAACAAAAATGAAAGCCGTTTCAAAATCAATTATTATTTGTTCAGGATCATTTTTCTTAAATGGCTTCCTGAAATTTGAAATGCATGGTAAATTTAATAAATAGTTGTTATTAATGTTATTGAGTTAATATATATAAAGCCATTAAATACATTGAGTTACAGTATTAGTTTAAGCAATTCAAAGTTGAAATAATAAATATTAAAATGGCCGACATCTCGTTAACGGTTCATGTTTTGAAAAATTGTATTAATGATTTTCATTTAATTTTGGCCCATAAAATACTTCCTGGAGTTTGGCCGTTTACTTAGGGACAATCTGTATAACTCAAATGAATCTAATATATTTAATTATCCAGGCATGTATTAAATGGTGTTTTATTATAAAGAAACTACATAATCCCGAACTCGCCAAAGTTATATATTCTCTAAAGATTCTTAATTTAAAACATAAATAAAAAATATAAAACTAGTTTCATACAATATTAACTTCATTTATAAGCCACGTTTGAAAAATCTAAAAACAATGAATTTGGGGTAAAAAAGAGATAATATTGTTTTTTACCTTCAGAAACAATGCATCTGTAGTAGAAGTAACAGAATTTGGAATTGCGGACAGGATAAATATAGTATTGTATATTGCTGGAGTCTAAAAAGATAAAATTGAGTATTAGTCACATATCAATCAATCAATTATATAAGATGGGACGCCACTATGTGCGTGTTTCCACCCAAATATAATATGAGTGTAGGATGAGTGGCGCGATCTTCTTGTCTTGTTGGTGACTAGCCAACGCCGACACCGACATGTTCCTTAGACACAGATGTACATCTAGTATTAATTATATATATAATATTTATTGCTATGTAAAATATGCAGGCTGTTTGATAGCTCATATTTGATATATTAACTACTATTAATCATATTTTTAATAGTCATATTTTAATTAATAACAATTGCAGTTTTATTTTTCAAACATTATAGTAATAAATTATTTGAATTAACACATACAAAATTATTTAGTATAGTACTAATAGTGTGACTTTAGTCGCAGGAATTTCCATTTACCTGGCTGGTTTCCACTAAAATATTAATTTAAAATTTTACGATTTATTTTCTATTTAAATAACGTAAATTTTAATGAGTACCTACTCAGGTTTGCTGCTACAGGGAAGATAATAAGGTGTGTTATTTTATTAAAATATTGATTTTATTTATGGAGTTAACCAATTAGCTAAATTTCATCAAACAGTTTACTACTACAACAGTTTATTCATTCTCCATCAGAATAAAATGAAAATTTAAAATTTACACTTTGTTGAATTTTTTCAGTAACAGTTAGGCAAACGTTTCAATATAGACTACTAATGTTTTCTTTTACCTCTACAAACCTTTTTGGAAAGAAATTGCAAAATTTCATGTTTTTAGGGTCAAAATGGGAAACCCCTATTTTCTCCGTAAAACTCCCATAAACCCCCATTTCCATTGCCTTATCATGCTGGTTTGCAAACTCATTCAAATAAATGTAAGTTTAAATGTTTTTTTTTTTTTTTAATTATTAAATTGGGATATTTTTTCTCGGCGTGGGTTTGAATTGAGGATGCAAAAGGGAATATTTTATTTAAATTTAAAGGTTTTTACCAAAGAATTGTATACTTGGATTATTTAAAATGTCTTTTTTATTCAAGTAAGAAGACAGTTCGGGTCGTATTTGTGAGTATTTGGTAGGTAATTAGTACAAAAAAACCTGATTTGGATCAAATCAGGTTTTTTTGTACTAATTACCTATTTTTATTTTGTGTGTGTCGACAAATTGTTCCTTAAGAATATTCAGCTCAGAAGATAAGGAAAACATGACAAAAATAGGTGTGGTTTTTTATAAATTAATACTATATAGGTCTAACAGGTCAAACCACATAATTCGAGTCTTATGATTATTTAAAATTTAGGTTTGTTTTGTTCGTGAGTTTTCAACGCCAAATTAATCTAGTTTATTTTGCTGTATTTAAGAACAATCATTCCAGAGAAAAATCTAGGAAGTCATGCCAGAATTATTTAGCGCTCAGTAAGTTACATTTGCTGTAACCAGCAAATAATAATATAAACCTCAATAAAAGTCATAAGATGATTACCCCATTCCACGATTTTGTTTCCTTCTACTTGCTGTTTGTAGGTAAGATGCACTTGACTGGAACATAAAATTGGGTTTAAATTAATATCTGTTTTATGTCAAGTTTCTAATTGATATAAATAAAAAGCCTTTTAAGGGCGCTAGCTTTGATCACCTATACAAAAGGAGACATATATCATGTACATGTATTTTAATGAATAAAAGTACTATACGGAAGTCATTAAAGGTACATCTAATGACACTTGAATCATTTATTGGCACTTTTGTACTGTTTAACAGGACGGTGAATAAAAATAAAATATAGTAACTTGTGTTTAGTGTTTCAATTTTAAGTGCATGGTGATTTGCAGTAGAGGATGAACCTGATGGTATGGCAGTTGCTACGAAAAATGTAGTTTTAATCAAACAAAGATATTGTAAGGTATATTTTATCGACACAACAATATAAATCACTATCTAGAAATAGGGCTATGCAATCTGATTTATTACAAAATTGCCAAAATCTAGGAAAAACTCAGCCAACTTGTTTATGTATTGCCTGAATACGGTTTGGTTTGTATAAATATGAAAAACGAATTTCCATAACTTTAGAGTAAAAAATGCAATCATACATTGCCTTGGAGATATAATATATGTTGCACCTACTTTTCGTAAAATGGTAAGAACCTTTTTTTTCAATTCGTTTAGCTACCTTAAAAAGGTAATCAATACAAAACAATTTCATTTTTGAATTAGTTTGCATCAAAATGAAGTGGAGTATAATTGAAAAGAGTTGATTGCACAGTCTAAAAGTGTATTTTCTACACTCGCTGATTTATCATCCTTTGCCCCTCTTCGTTTGATTGACTTGAGATTCTGTCGTAAATAGCAACTTTGCACCCTACACATTGTTTTTCACAATACTTCAGACTGGACCTAGGACGCATTATCACTTGGAAATCCTTGTGATTTGGCAGGATTTGAACGTGGAACCTCAGAGACCGAAGTCAGACCAGCTCGCTCCCTATACTACATACTACCATAGATAAAACATACTCATGTGTTGGTTAGTCTATGATACCACACACACACACACACACAGACCTGTTATATTATAGTCATACACGTATATGTTGGTAATGTTACCTTCCATCAGTTAAAAACAGATCCACCAAGCCTTTTCCTGGTTGTTGACTACCTTTTACACAAGATACATTTTTTGGCAGAACGTCTTTGGATATGTATTTTAGAGTAACCTCTTTGTCGTAGCCCTGTAAATAGTTTAGCATTATTGAATGCATTTTAACTGCTATGATACGTATAATGAAACTATAACTGTAGGGATTGATTTTATAATGTGTATAAAATAAAAACCTTCAAACTTTAATAATGATTGATTAAATGTATAGTTAATACTGGCTAATCTAAAAGTTAACTATCAACCTTTCTCTGAATCGTTAAAACATAAATTATAATAATACCCCCGCCACAGCAAACCTGCAGACTAAGCGAATTTCCATTTGAATGATTGGATTTACACTGAAATGTCTACTTAAAAATATAACACTTATTCCCTATTTAAATAGAATTAGTTTAACAAGTACTTAGGTTTGCTGCATCAGGGAGGGTAAAACTGCTTTTTTTTTGTAAAATATTAATAGTTAGTAAGAAATAAAAACTTTTCCAAATTTGATCAAAATATGTTCATAAACAAGCAAACTACAACAGTTTACTTATTCTCCATAAGAATCACATGGGAATTTTAAATTTACAATTTTTTGGAATTTTCTCCGTAACCATTAGGCGCATAATAACGCTTCAATATACTAAATTATTTGTTTTTTTAAGCTCTACGAAGTGGTTTGGAAAGAAATTGCTAAATTTTATGTTTTTTTTTGTAAAAAATGGGAAAAACCTATTTTTACCCCATAAAACCCCCCGTAAACCCCCGTTCCCATGGTCCGATCATGCTGGATCGCGAACTCGTTCGAACAAACGTAAGTTTACACGTTTGTACCAAATTTCATCAAAATCGGATCATTTTTGCTCGAGTTATCGTGCTAACGGACACACATATATCTTACTAATATTATAAATCTGAAAGTTTGTGAGTTTGTGTATATTTTTGTGTGTATGTTTGTGTGTGTGTTGCTCAATCACGCATAAACTACTGGACGGATTGGGCTGAAATTTGGCATGCTGATAGCTCACATTCCCGATTAACATTAAAGCATATTCTTATCTCAAAAACCCTTTCGGGCTCCGCCCCAGTGGCTCTGTAGTTCCCCATGTTAATCTTATGATTTTTCATATTTAAAAGGAATTAATGAATCTTAACAGCTGTCTCAATTAAACAAGTTGGTTCTGTTCTATGATGTTCAACAGCATAAAAGTTACAAGGATTACCAACAGGGTGCAGCACTATTAATTTCTTTTTTTATTTATGACAACAGCTAATTTCCAACCAAACCTTTTAACCTTGAGGCGAGTTAGCGTAGCGAACGAGCTAACCTGAAGGCAAGTGAGCGCAGCGAACGAGCTCCAACCTAAAGGTGAGTGAGCGTAGCGAACGAACTTCAACCAGGACGTGAATGAGCCATGCGAATACTTATGAAGTTAAACGGGGCGAAGCCCGCGGGTACAGCTAGTATATATATATATATATATATATATATATATATATATATATATATATATATATATAAATATATAAACATATAAATATATAAATATATATATATATGAATTCGAACGGATGGTGTTTTTGGCCTCTAGGGACCTCAAAACGAAAAAAAAATCGGTCCCGCGTCCAAGTCTTACCATGAGTACTACGGTAATAGCTTATTCCCTATATGGGAAATTCGCTAAAATCCAAATATTTATTTCAATTATATGGGTCAAAGTGAAAAAGCAATATCTAATATTTTTTTTTATTAATTTATTGGCATGGCAAATCCTTTAATACATGTTGATTACAACTATGTCAGTCTGCCTTCAACAAAATAACGAGCAAGAAACCACATACTACTGGCTTGACAAATATGTTACTAAGCATTATTTAAACATGTAAGAGTGTTATGTTATATTTTACATCTACCCTAATTTTTTTACGAATAAATTGGCATATTCTAACAAAGCTTTTAAAAAAAGTCCATCATCAAGTTGTAAGTAAATCAATTACCATCCCAAATATGCCCGCATTTGAATCCTTCAAAAATTAGGTATGATCTAAATCTAGAACAAATGTTTCTGTGCTGTTACACTACTATAATTATATAAAATATTTGTTCACAACAATGACTGTCTTAAAACGAATAATTTTAACCTTCAGAGGGAATATTTTTCCCCTTCTTGCATTTCTTGCGAAAAAGATTTTCCTTTCATTTTGCTACATTTCTTTAACTGTTATATTCTATCTATATAAGTTAGTAATTTAAATTTCAGTTTTAAATTAAATTTATAAAAACCTACCACAAGATTTACTGGTGGTTTCCCATCCTTGTAGCAATCGGCAAATTTTGCTAAGAGTTTAGGAATCCCTGGGTATTCGCAGCATGGTCTTAGAGCTGCAGTGTTGGTGACAGACACAGCTACTAGCATGACAGTTATTGTCCACATGGTTGCCCTGGAAGGTAAAGGATCAATGAGGATAAAAACTGTAGATGAAGTATGCAATGAAAAATAAACGAAGATAGAACATTTGTTTTGCTCGCAAAAAAAACATAGTCCACCAAGTTTATGCAATTAACTAAACATTGGTTGGATTCTAAAACTGCACAATATTGTTATATACATACATTGGCGTATTTCTTAGCAAATATAGCATTGGATAGTTGCGCTTGCCATAGAGTTAGCTTAGAGGAACATAAGAACTGTAGCGATTGTTCTTCTGTTCGTATTATTATTAAAGTAGGCTAGGCTGTGGTGAATATATATTTAAATAAAACAAACATCTTCAATTAACTCAAAGCTGCCATCTTTATTAAACCCAAAAGTAAAGAAGGAAGAGACTCACAGACGAGGCTCCCCCACTACTGATAGTTACAGTTGTACCAATACAACAAAATATAAAATACAATTATATTAGAAATGAGTACTTATAACAAGAACTACTTTTTGTGAGATTGATATTTTACGAATTATTATATTTTTTTGTTTGTAAAATTAATACATCACGCACTTTCTACAATTTGAAAAGTATCACTTAAACACATAATTTGAAACCTAAATAATGTTATTATATGCATTATGTTCTATCTTAAAGGCAGCTAGTACCATGAATACTAAAAAAATACCGTTATGGATCATAAACATAAACAAATGACGTTTTTGACCCAAAAGTAAACAAAACCCCTATACTAATAGCATTAACTAAAATATGGTTTTGTTTACTTTCGGGCCAAAAACGTAATTTGTTTATGTTTATGATCTATACCAGGTCTTTTCTAGTATTCGTGGCTACCACCATTGCTACCATTGCTTGCAAATAAAATGTATCATTTTCTATTCTGTGCTCTCTGATCATATCTTACTCATAAAAATATAATAATATTAACTAAGGTACTATCTTAAATTTACAATACAGTCTACAACTACGTACATTTCTTAAAACCACTTACCAAGTAACTGAATAGGGTACCAACGAAGCAATGTTATATATGACCACAATGTACTAAAAGTCACGAGGTAAAATTAGTCAGCGTGTTGAAGAGTAGATAAAGATGGTTTTTATTGCTTTGTTGTAAAAACACTGTCACACGTTGAATTGTCCGTCACAGGCGAAATGCTCCATGACAAAACAAAATTTAGTGTTTTTTGTGCTATTTGTTGGTTCCACGTTTAGCGTTTATATAACGCACGTGATGCGGAACACACACTTTTCTCCACATAAATTAACAAAATGAGATATTTTACAAAAACGTGATACAAGGGTGGTAATTGCTATTTGATAAGCATACATTATTGGCAAGTAAATGTGAACAAACAGTACAATGTTTTATAATGAATAAAAATTGTAATTTATCGATTTTTAATTCAGTATTAGTGCTGATGAAGTAGCTTGTGATTCAGAAAACTTAAGTAAACCAAAAGGAGATATTTGATGTACATTTGAATATTTCATGATGAGTGACTTGATTTTACAAGTAACAAGCTCGTCTCCAACCATAGTTCTCCTGTCGTAAAATATTTGTTTATGGGTTTTTTTCAGACTTTAACTCAGGAATTTTTCAACTCAGAACCGGGCTCCGTCACCTCGGGTCAGGTACACTTTCCCCTTCAACAGACGATTCAGACAAATTTCTTCGCCAAAAATTCTGAGCAAGCCCCTTTTCATATCGATGTAGACTGCTCCCTACTGCAAGACATGTTTTACTTGTTACATGTTACTGCTTTGTAAGGAATACAAAAGAGTCTACATTGTTCCATTCATCCACAGACTCACGTGTTGTATAAGAGGCTTTGTGTCATAAACTGATGACAGTCTTAAAACCTTATGATTTATAGCACAATTTACATCGCCCGATATATGTGAGACTCAACACCTGCAGTGAGATACGTCATTTAAAGGTAATACCTTGTCTAGAGTTGTAATTCAGCACGAGTTGTAATTTTCATTACCAGTAATCATACAGTTGATTGGGTCTTAATACATTTAGAGTTTGTAGTATTGTCATTCCTATAAAAATCTAATCAAGCACAAACTGTTTAGGATTCTTAAAACGTAAACGTTCCATTGGTAAAAGTAGTGTTAGTAAGTAGGCTACGTGATAACATTGTCTAGATACACTGAATAGACTGCCCATGTAATGAAAAATTTGAAGCAATAAAAAAAAACGTGGTGCAATCTGTTGAGATGGTCACCAACTAATTACAATATTGTGTGTACAGTGATAAATCAATCAGCTGTTTGCTATGATGTTGCATTGGTTTTAATTAATACTATTAAACACGTTGCTCGAAATCGAGCAATTGCAAAGAAGTAAAGTAGTTAATTAAAAACAAATAAAAGTCATCATAATTTCCGATGAGTTTAAAAGACTCAACTCATAGATTACGTACCTAACAGTTCCATATAATCAACATTTCTTGTAAATAATTTAAACAAAATCATTAAATGTACTCTATGCGTATCATTGAATTAAAAAATAAATAACAGCAATTAAATTATACAGCTGATCAAAATGTAAACAATTAATTATGCTCTTCATAAGGATAACATGGGAACTTGAACAGTCACTGGGGAGAGTCAAAAATGTAAGGTCAGTTTGCAAAACTACGCAACACGCTCTTTCCAATGAGACGTCAATGGATAAAATCGGTTAAGAAATGGCGGAGGAGTTCAACCGACAAAGTTTCATGTACCGTAGCGTATTAATTATATAGATTCAACCTAATACACTAGTAAACTCTGGTGAGATGGTCCTGAACTTCATCTATTTTCTTGGCTTCAAACTTTTATAACATGGGAAGTCTATTCTGAGTAATCAATGGTGATGAAATGATTTATTCATTCGTAATGAGAAATTACATAGGTAGCTTAAACTCAAGATGAACATGCAGCTTTAATTGATATGCATAAGTTGTAATGAAGTCTACTAGGATAATAACCCAACTTTGAAATGACCGGTATGGTTGGAAGGATGTTTGTAGCTAAACTCTGGATCTGGACTCCTGTGTTTATGTATGGACTGATTGAGAGGGATCCGTAAACAGCTTTATTATAACGATACTTTAAAAACGTAACCAGAATGTAACTTTACAAATTACGATTACAACTACAGGCAGAAACGCGAGTTATCTATGCGTACCTGTGTCTCGTACTCGACTGAAGCTCCGATCGTTTCTCTAGGGCTTTCCAGAAGCGTAGGGGCAAAGTACAAGGGTCGTCTCATTGTCTCTACCGAGCGCTTCCTCTTGCTATTGTATTATGCAGGCTACATGTTTAAAACCAAATGTCCACTTCTTGACTTTATAATATTAACTAAATATCTTGAGGTGTAATATAAAATAAATAATAATCTTCCGATTTATAACAATTCCTCCCAACCAAAAAGAGAATATGCTTCCATCAAATAAAATAAACAAAACAAAACTTGGGAGGATTTTCTTTCTCTATTTACATGTCCAGTTTCTTAGGTACCCTCCGGGGCCTTTGCGAGCGTCGAAGGATAGCCTGTTCTTAATGTTGGTCGTGGCGTTGGTCTGCATCATATGTGACGACTGGTTCTGGTGACCTTTGCGGTGAAGGAGGGGTAGCGGGAGTGATAGCCTTCTTCAAAGGCGAGTTCTGAGGGCTCCTTTCAGTTGTTTCAGTTTGTTTGGGACTTAATCGAAAGGCTTCTCTTGGGAAACGAATAAAATCATCTTCTTCTTCCTCCTCACCGACCCTTGCTCTGAGATGATCTGCATGGACAAACCTAACCCTACCATCAACTCTGACCAAATATGTCACAGGACTGACAACCTTTGTTATAACTCCTGGCTGCCACTTGATCTTTTCCTGCCGAACTGTTCGGACGTAAACGTTGTCATCAATTACAAAACTCCGAGGCTTACCACGGTGATTGTTGGCCGTACTTGTAATGCCTTCTTGTTTAATCTCCATCTGACTGGTCAAGTGAGGTTTCAAAAGACTCAGATGTGTTTTGGGCTTGAATTTAAACATTAATTCAGATGGGGTCAATCCTGTCATTGAATGGGGTGTGTTCCTGTACGTGAACAGAAAAGCGTCAATGTGGTGTTGCGTTGAGCGTTTGCTATTACATTTGGCATCATGAAGCATCTGTTTGAGAAATGATTCCTTCACTGTTTGTACTGCTCTTTCGGCTAAGCCGTTGGAAGCAGGATGAAATGGAGGTGTCAGGATATGATGTATACCATTTTTTTCCATAAATTCCTTGAATTCAGATGACTTGAACTGCGGTCCTCCATCCGTTACTACTGTTGAAGGTAGCCCAAATGCCGCAAAGCAATGACGGAGCTTTTCAATGGTGTGCTGAGATGTAGTTGTGGACATATAAAATACCTCAATCCACTTAGAGCAGCTATCCACTAGTATAAGGAAATCTTTCCCTTCAAAATAGGCAAAATCCAAGTGTAGCCTTTGCCAACAGTGTTTCGGCCAAGTCCAAGTTTGGAGTGGAGCTAATGGGGCAGACTTGCGTGTTTTCTGACAGATTGAGCATGTACTCACCATGTCTTCAATTTGTCTGTCCAATCCAGGCCACCAGACGAAACTACGGGCCAAAGTTTTCATTCTGCTCTCACCCGGATGTTCTGAATGGAGCAACAAAATAATTTCTTTCTGATGTGTGGGAGGTATTACGACCCTATTACCCCACAAAATGCAACCCTGTTCCACTGAAAGTTGAGTGCTTTTATTGAAGTAAGGTTTCATATCTTCTCGTTCAACATGTCCTGGCCATCCGTTCGTAACATAGTCAATTACCTTTGACAAAACTGGATCGAACCTTGTAGCTGTAGATATCTCCCTTGAAGTAATCGGTAGCTGGTGAGCGTAAGAGAAGAAAGAAATCTCACCCTCGAGTTCTCCCTTGTCACAGGGCAGTCGTGATAACGCATCGGCGTTAGAAATATCCGTACCCTTCTGGTACCGGATGTCGTACTGGTAGGCGGCCAAGGTCAGTGCCCACCTTTGGATGCGGGCTGCTGCAAGTGTCGGGATACCTTTAGTAGGCCCTAACAAAAATATCAAAGGACGGTGGTCGGTGACCAACGTAAATTTCCTTCCGTATAGGAATTTGTGGAACTTTTTCACAGCGTAAACTAACGCAAGAGCCTCCTTTTCTATTTGGCTATACTTTATTTCACATTTCGTTAGCGTACGCGAAGCGAATGCAATCGGCCGCTCTGTCTTGTCAGGTAAGGCATGTGCAATGACGCAACCGATACCATAGCTTGAACTGTCACATGTGACTACTACATCTAGATTTGGGTCATAGGGCATTAAGACATTGTCCCTAACTAACAGTCTTTTGCTTTCTTCATAAGCGAACTCACATTTACTACACCAGAACCATTTTGTATCATTATTCAAAAGCCTGTAGAGCGGGTGTAGCAAGGTTGCCAAATTAGGAATAAATTTTCCATAAAAATTGATGAGCCCTAAAAATGACCGCAACTGAGAAACATTTTCTGGCTTGGGTGCATTTAATATGTCCCTGGTTAATTCCTCACTCTGATGAATTCCTAATTCATCTAGGCGGTAGCCTAAGAACACAAGGCTAGACTTGCAAAACTCACTTTTACTGATATTGATTCTTACTCCATATTCCATTAGCCTACTAAGAACTAATTCAACTAAAACTTCCATTTCAGATAGGCTCTTTGAAAACACTAAAATATCATCAATATAACACACTGTGTTACTTATTCCACTCAAAATCTGATCCATAGTCGCTTGAAACAAAGACCCTGCACTAGTGATACCATAGGCTAACTTTTTGTAACGAAACAATCCCTTATGTGTGTTGATTGTGAGCAACTCTTGTGAGGACTCATTAACCCTTAATTGGCTATAAGCCGCAGAGAGATCTAACTTTGAATAAAATTTTGCCCCTGATATCCGAGTAAGGATATCTTCAGGATTCGGTAACGGATAGTGATCCGTCCGCAAGCAAGGATTAATAGTGACCTTGAAGTCCCCGCATATTCGAACTTCATTATTATTCTTGGGTACAACAACAATGGGGGTCACCCATGAGGACTTGGTTACAGGGTAAATGGTCCCATTTTCCTGCAATTTCTCCAGCTCGTCTTCAACCGCCCCTCTAAGGGCAAATGGTACACTTCTGGCCTTACAAAAGACGGGTTTGGAATTTTTTTTTAAATAATATTTACAGAACTGCCTTTGATTTCACCGGGTCCTTCCTCAAAAACAGGAGCAAATTTCCCTTTTAACTTAGCGACTAGGTCACCTGGAACGGACTTAACGTTCACGAGATGCACATCCTTACTGGCACATTCCTTGGTAGCACATTCCAATCGACCCGGGGTGACCGCCCTCCAATCCAACTGGAGCTGTTCCAGCCAGTTCCGTCCCATCAATGTAGGTTGATTGTCTCGGGAGCTCTTGACGACGACGACAGGTAACTTGTAGTATTCCCCCTTCGATGTGGTTACATGTGCCTGAAACTTTCCGAGAACAGGAATATTTTCTCCAGTATATGTTTTAAGCTTAATGTTGCAATCTTCCAACTCCGAGCCAGCCCTTTTAAAATCTTTACAATAAATACTGTCTGGCATGCAGGTGACAACAGCACCGGTATCTATAACCATTTCAATTGGAACCTGGTTAACAACCAAATTGACTACAAAACTATTTGGTTTGTTATCATTAGCATATGCTATGGTATAAAGTTCGAATGACGAGTCCCCAATATCTTGACTGGGACCGTCATCATTGTCCTCATGAGAATCACAGAAATTGATATTTCCATTAGGCCTAGGCCTATTGCCGCTAGGCTTAAACTTATTAAAACTATTTCTAGCCCGACACACACTGGCTAAGTGACCTTTCCTTTTACATTGGAAACAGGTAAAATCTACGAATGGACAAGTTTTAACATCATGCTGTTTCCCACAACGGTAACATTTTTGTTGGTTACCCCTTCGTACCTCAAAACCTTTAGGCCTAACTGCAGATGGTGCAGTAGGTACCTTATGACTAGGCCTACTATTCTTAACATAATTAACTTCATAAGTCATTTGTTTTTCTGGATACAAGGATCGAACATTGCTATCAGCATTTTCTAAGACCAAGGCGATTTCAAGAGCCTTTGAAAAAGTAAGAGAATCCCCTTCTGCTAGGAGCTTACTTTGAATCTGTGAGGATTTCAAACCACATAAAAACTTATCTCTTAAGGCCTCATCAAGGAATGAGCTAAAATTGCAAGTGGCAGCAAGTTTCTTTAGCTGAATAGAATAATCACTAATACTCTCCCCTTCCCTTTGAATACGTCTGTTGAAGATAAACCTTTCATAGGTTATGTTACATTTAGGAGTGAAATATTTCCTTAAAACCTTGATAATTTCTTCATATTTCTCATCTTTTACTAATTTAGGATGTAGTAAATCCTTTAAGGTTGAATACAAGGATGGCCCCATAACAGACACAAAAAATGAAACCTTGGTTTTATCCTCAATGGTATTGATAGCAAAGAAATGTCCAAGTCTCTCCACATAGTTTTCAAAACTTTCTAAATCCTCATTAAATTCACTAACCCGATGAGTTGTTTTGCCATGGTTACAGACTGTAGAAAACTTACATAAAATCATCCATAAAACATGTGCTCACGATGTTGCAACATAAAATCATCACGAAGAAACATGAAACGGAGCACTTTGTCTCAACACGAAAACCCGATCCAGGCCTAGCCCACGAAATAATTTGATTAACCACTCAATTAAGTTTAACAGTACTATACTTTTCACTGTAAATCGCGTGAATACGCACTTCCTCGTCGCCAGTTATTATAACGATACTTTAAAAACGTAACCAGAATGTAACTTTACAAACTACGATTACAACTACAGGCAGAAACGCGAGTTATCTATGCGTACCTGTGTCTCGTACTCGACTGAAGCTCCGATCGTTTCTCTAGGGCTTTCCAGAAGCGTAGGGGCAAAGTACAAGGGTCGTCTCATTGTCTCTACCGAGCGCTTCCTCTTGCTATTGTATTATGTAGGCTACATGTTTAAAACCAAATGTCCACTTCTTGACTTTATAATATTAACTAAATATCTTGAGGTGTAATATAAAATAAATAATAATCTTCCGATTTATAACAAGCTTAGGGGCGGCGGGAAATGAGATTTGAACGGAGTGGGTTAGGGTTTGAAATTGAGGTCAGTTACCATCATGAGAAATATA